GTGACCAAGAGCAAGCAAGATATTTTTGATTGCACTCGATTCCATGCACTGCTTTCACTTGTGTAGGCTTCTGGAAGAGGACAGACCTAAGATGAAAATATTTGCCCGCAGGACTCGAGGTATGGGTGTGACAGGGGTGCTCCAGGATCTGTTACTTCTCAAGGAAGTGGTCCCCGCATCCATGACAGCACTCCCCTTCGCCGTCGGCATCTCATATCGGCAGCAACTGGTTGTCCAAGTACGCAGCACCTTTCCAGCAGCATAGCAACACCCATGCTCCGAGAACCTGTGAAATGGAACTGCAGGGCAAGCAGGCAGCCTAGAAAGCCATGTTGTGCAGGTGGAGTGGCTGCACTGCCCAGGACAAGACAAACAGAGTTCAGTTTGGAAGATATGGCAGCTGCTGAAGAGGCCCTGTGCTCAGCTACTCCTTGGACAGAGCAGCATGCTGTGATTCCGCACAGAGCAGGTACCAGTCGTGCTGATGTAGAGATGCCATTAGGGATGCCGTTGATGGTAGAGGGTCTACAGTATAAAATGGCATGTTACTCCTGTGGACACAATCTTGTGGGCCAGAGGACAGACTGTGATGGCCTCCTGAACCTTTCTCTGTAGGAGGGCGTGCAGCTGACATGGATGTGGAGCGGCTGATGCTGGGCTCAGAAGAATTTACACAGCCTTTGAAGGCTTTGCAGGAGCAAGCCGAAAGCATCACCTTCAAGGCAGAGGTGTGAATGCCCCCTGAACGCAATTTTTTGCGCACCAAATCTGAACGCGTCCTCCGCACTATCCCATTGTCCTGTCTGCTCTAGCCCTGCAGACATGCTAGAGATGAACACTCATGTCCTTCATAAAGAAACTGGATGTCTTCGCTGTGTTGGTGGGCAATATTGCATGTCTGTTCATTCTTTCTTTGTGATATCTCGGATTGTGACCCTATGCAGGATCCCATGCACATGGACCAGGCCAGAATGAAGAGGGGCCTGTGGCTTGGACAGCAGGTTGGAAGGAAGAAGGGCAGCCATGCAAAGAACTCGAAGGTAGAGTCGACGTCCCTGCAAACCTTTCTTGAAAGAACATGCCGGGATGTGCAACCTTTGTCATGAAATGTTGGGGAGGAAGACAGGCGTGGCATTGGACCCACTTATATTGCCTGTAGATCACCGTCAGATTGTTTGACCAGTACTTGTGCAGGTGCGAAAGTTGACAAATGCTCCAAAGCTAGCAGATAACGGCAGCAGAACAGGCATTCCTCAGCGTTCATCTTCACTACCAGCGCCTTGTGCGTCCATCCCTGGCATTGATGCAGCGCTGATGAGATCGCATTCGACTGCAGACGATGCTGCAGCAGAGCTCCTCAGCCCCACAGCACCAGCATCATATGGACAGGTTTGGCTCTTTAAAGCCCAACATGTTCTTTGGCATGCTGCATGGCAATTCTGGAAGAGACAGCATTGACACAGAGACATCCGCATGCAGGGACAGATGCTGCGCATGGGAGCAGGACGGACCTTCATATCGCCGAAGTAGTTGTATATTGGCAAGATACATTATGTGCGCAGCAGGACTAGCATCAATTGGCATTAGTGACAGATATTGCTCATTTTGCAGAATTTGCATGTTAAGGCATGCTGAAATCTGACATGGAAGTTGAACACAAATGTCAACACTGGGAATTACTTTCACAGCAACCATGACCATTTTTGAGAAGATATTGCATCCAGGAACTCAGACAAGAAACATCAAGAAAAGGAGCCACTGTGGAATTACATAGTATCCTTGCACCACGGCACCTCTGAAAGTCTAGAGTCCATTTGACTGTGAAGGCATTTGAGAATCCCATTGGAGACCAGTGCTTGTTTACGAAGTACGCTGAATCTGCTGCCCAACAAGAACTCTGGGATATTTTGAGGAGCAGGAAAGTAATGAATCAAATTTGATCAAGAGATGTAAAAGGGCTGTATCTGACTGAAGCTTCATGAGTGATCACCGCAGCAGATTGACATGTCTGCTGTCCATGCGAAATTCCGCTAGATTCGGCTGTACTTTGTGAATTTCAACTTTCAGAGAGTGGCCACCATAAAGAGTGACCTTGGCATTGCTGACATATTCTGCAGGTACTATATCAATACATCACTCTGCAGAATGATGTCACCCACACAGATGATCATAAACCTTTGTGCCGGACAATGTCCAGAGTTGCAACTCAATTGAGAACCGCCAGCAGGTCTAAAATAAGGCATTTGGAGTCATACAGTCACACTCCAACACACATGTCATGTGCTCAAGACCGCTGTCCTACTTTGCTATGCTTGCTTCTCAACCCCGGACAAACTGCTTTGCGGACTTCACTTTGTGTCGAGAAACACAGATACGCTGGCCAGTATCACGATCCCAGGCTTTGTTGCAGAAAAAGACAAGGGCTGTATCATCCTTGTCTCTAGTGATGTCTCTAGTGCTGTGCTCATTGATCTGAGCCCTTTTGCGGCTGGTTAACCAAAATTCGCCTGCACTGCACGCACCTTCACACCTTCTCCTTGTATCATGTCGCTCTGTGCAGTCATGCATAACAGCAATGCAAGGCGGAAAAGGACTGCCAAGACCACTCTTACCCTCAATCACTGTGGCCAGGCTGTGATATATCCCCGGGCTGTCTACCAATTCATTATTTGAGAGCTGACAGCTCTTCAAAAAGAGTCGACCCATGGGATGCTGATAAAGGTCCTCCGTGTCAAACAGATAGCCATGCTCAATATAAACATCACCTGCATGTACATGCCTGCATGTTGCACTTGCAACTCAGACAAGGCAACAACGAGAGCCACTTTGAACCAGGCAAATATTGCACATCAGATTCTTTAAATGGTATGTGGCGCTGACCATCAAGGCTGTAACAGTACAATAAATCAGCGTATGCCAGCTCATGCTCGTCTGATTTGGCATCTTCATAATACACCTGGGCACGAGAGATGCACAATCTGACAAACAGGTGATGAAGTCCCCTCACAGCGCTCATATGCATAGCAACCCGGCAAATAAAAAACTTGAATGCCAGGGCTCACCAGGGCGCAATGAGAGCGCTGTCGAAGATTGAAGTGCAGGCTTGATGAGCTGTTGTGGTGTATAACAATTAACTTCTCGTAATATGTCAGAGCTTCCTGGCTCACACCGTGAAAGGCAGCAGCAGTTGAGCCCTTTGGGCAACTTCTCCGGGGCTCCTCAACACGAACTTGCACACTCTCTGGGCTAAGCTGATCAGTGCCTGTATGCACAAAACAGCTCTCGGGCAAGATTATCCTGGTGGATAGTTGCTGCTGATCCCCCTTCACTGATCTATGTTGATGAGCGCCACCATGCATACCTTCAGACATGGAACAAGCTTCTCCGCATGGCGACGAGGTTGCGGTGCACTCTGTTTGATGGGCAAATGTGTGCTCAGGATAGTCGTTTAAGCGACTCAATTTCTGCTCCCTGAGGTCTCCCATGCAGAGCTTCGAGCAAGGTGTCGACTGTACATTATGATGGGCGAGATCAGCACTGCTCCTGTCCGGGTAAAACAGAATCCTCAATTGATAATGACATGTGTCCCTCATCAACCACGTGTGCAAGCTTCTCAAGCATCACACTTCTACACAAACATTAAAATGCTGAGAAAGGGGCACAAGCCTTTGGAGAAACAAGCTCCCAAGGTCACCAGTGAGAAGTTGTGAAGAATCTGAACATGATGCCCTGGGACTCCCAGGCCTCAAGACTCCCAGGCTGTGAGCCTCCGTATGCCCTGGTGAACCAGCCAGATGGATGCTGGAACGATGCCCTGAGATGTCTCCGGCATCACTTCCAGGGGCACTTGATGCTTGACCTGCACCAGGCTCTCAGTGGGACGTGGGACGTGTCCATCACACAGCATTTCCTACAATTAAATGAGGACACTAGCCTTGTGTGCTGTGTGCAAGTCACGGTTCTAGTTATGCAGCCTAACAACTTATAGACTTGCACTGTTCTGGCATGTTAGTTATGATCACTGGAGTCCAGAAGTACATCTTCCCCGGGAACGCAGGTGGGTGTGCCACAAGCTGATACCTGATGACCACAATGGGGTAGAATGGTGTGTACGAAAGATATGCTCAGATCTGAGCTGTTCCGGTGTCCAGTCCCCAAAGAACAGCGTTGAGGAACTCGAGCAGGGGCTGAGGTGGCCCTGTCCAGAGCAGGAGAGGTTTAGAACTTCTTTCTTCTTGTTTTCGCCAAAAAACTCAGGATTTTCTGTTATTTCCAGCAGCCTTCCACCAGGGTGCAGAAGAGGACTTCACCTTGAAGAGATACCTGTTCGCATCCAATACCTTACCCTCTGCCAAACTGTCTTCTATCCAGGCATAGCGTATCACAGGAATTCCCCAGCTCTCAGCACTTTTAATCTTCTGGCTTTTTCCGTCGTCTGCTGATAATGCCAGTGTATCCGATGCCAAAACTAAGTGTGTACTACGGTTACGGACGAGAGCACCACTATACTCTATGCCCAAAACCTCTGCCAGACGCCTGACTTCCCCTCGTGCATCTCCACGGAACCCTGCATGTGCTCCGTCCCCGGATCAGCACTGCTCTGTACCAATCCAGGACTATCATCAACCCCCTTCACTCTTCAATCCAACGTAATCTCAGAGTCCAGTGTTGGATACCTGTTCCAGTGATGCAGATGTCCATAGTAAATCACTGGGCCGAAGAAGTGATTCTTTGGGATGGCACTACACCTCAAATAAGGGTGGCTTGAATTCCTCTTAGACAGCATCCAGTGCGATATGGAGCCCGTTGCTGGTCTGAGAGTGACGATCGTTTACAGTCCTTCGCACCAGGTTTCCCCCTTATAATTGAAGTGCCTATCCAAGTTGGATAATCCAACAGCCTGATAACCGCAGAATCCTGTGAAAGAGAACCTCAAGAGATCTTTGAGGGCTGATAAGGATGCCGGCATATATATCATAGATTTGGCACATGAGCATCAGCCGGCCTTAGCTCAGTTGGAAGAGCATGTGACTGTAGAAGTGAAACCCCCAGTGGGAATCTGCTGGTATCACGGGGTCGTTGGTTCGAATCCGACAGGCCGGACTTTTTTCTCCCTTTTTGAACTTGCTGCGTTTTCTTCGGGGATCGGACGTTCTCGTCCGGGGCTGCTTTTTCCAACCAAGTGCAAATATGAGTATATTCACGATTTTGGTAGGATACTCTGGTGATTTCCATACTTCATGCTTGGAAGTGATGCTAGGTGCTGATGAAAAGAGTTGACTAAGTCAACTTGACTTCATTCGAATGAAAACGAGTGAATGACCTGCTGACTAAGGATAGGGCCTGGAAGATATCACAATCGGAGTCTATCTAGATGTCTGTGGGTGATCAGATATGATCACCCCTAGGTGGCCTGAAAAGGGGTAACGTTACCTGTTAACTGACTGACTGACTGACTTGATGTTCAATACGACCGGCTATGTAAAGATATATACAGAGAGTTTGTTGTGCTGAGGCACCCCTTTCTCTTCCTACCAGTGGTGCTGGCACGTCCTTGAATGTTTGCTTTGCATATCTTGATCTCATACACACAGTAAACTCTATAGTATATCAACTTGCTCACCAACTGGTGTGCTCAACCATGGGCCGCACAGTATGGGGCTTCTGACAAGCGTTAACCCATCTATCAGGATATCCGAATCTAGAAAACACCGTTCAACCACTTTAACTACGGCACTGACTGACAACAAATTGAAAGCTAAAATAGCCGACTGCAAGACAAAAACTGTCAGCGCGAGCGCCATGGCTGGAGAGAAGGAGCGTATGCAGCATACGGTATGCTAGACTGTGACTGCCTCTTTAACAGAAGTAAAGGAGGTCCACTGCTTCTCCAGCACGTCAACAATGCATCAGTAAGTCCCAATGTCACTGCATCAGTAGTGGCAGCGCCAACGAAGCCTCATACATTCTAGTCTAGGAAACAAATGCATAATATGTTGACAACTCACATCACCTTGGCCTCTGTCGAAGCACCTGCTGCACATGAAAGGACCCTTAGAAAACTCAAACAAATGTTCAGTACTGATTAGCTGATGATGAGTAAAATTGATGGCAACAAGTTAAGCTTACACAACAGCACATGTTACCTGCACATATCACCACTACTTCTTGATTAATCGTGGGTTATCATCTGTCCTGAGGTCCATGTATGTTGTCTGAACGCTGGTACAGGTGTAGCCTCAAAGCGTGGAACTGGAATCACTGGTCTAGGCTGCATTCCCGGTTGCTGTTGCAGGAATGAGAGATTCTCAACATCACAGCTTCATAAAATTTTGTAAGATTCTAAACTTCATAATAGTCCTCCATTAATAGCAAGGCTGCACAGTCAGTACAGGCTGCATTCCTATGTGCTCGACTCGGAATCAGAGAAAAAACTCAACATCGAAAGTTTGAAAGGCTTCAAAATTCATCGCAGTTCTCTCTCTTGTGATTGCAGTGCTGCGGACGATGCTACAGTGTGAGGAACATGGCACATCAGAGTACTGCCAAGGTCTGCAGACACGGGGTGGGCAATCACCTGGGGTGTGGTGCCCATCAGCATGATATCCTCATCTTCATCATCTTCTTCCTCTATGCTGCCAGTGCTCGCAAATTGTGCAGGCAATTGTAGTTCACTCCTCAGGCTGCCCATACTGAAGGTGTCTGTATTGTGCCCTGCATGCAGGGCATTCAATTTCCTGTTTAAGAAAGCATTGTCCAATTAGTGCCCTTGAAAAATGAGTATCATAATGCGCAGTGTCGGTAGTCCAATTGTAAGGATCTACACGGCAGACCATGTGCAGATCAAAACTCCCTCTGAATAAACAATGGTGCAGACTGATTGAAGAGGACGAGCCATACTAAAAAGCCTCAGTCTCGTTGCCCACCTTCCATGAGCTGTTTGCATACATCAACCATATCCACGCTCTTGCCGAAGGGCGAGGTGCCCATTCCAAAATGCGGTGTCTGGCGGCCAATAGACGTGCCGGCCAGCGGCCACGATGGGCGAACCCATGGGCTGCCCACCACTCGCGTCATGGTGCCATTCTCGCTCTGCTTCAATGATGCGCCAAGGCTGCTTGGTATCATCATGGCATCGCTCACAAACATGGCACCCTGTGTGAAAGGAATCCTTGATCGGTTAGTGTGCACTCCACCACTACCTTCACAGGATCGTCCTCTGTATTAACACAATTCAACTCATGCATCAAGTTCTGGCAGAGTTGCGACTAAGAGTAGTGATGTCGGGGACGAAACCCGCCAACTCATGCACCAGACGCTGATTGCATGCCGCGCACCGTCACGTCACGAGCCAGCTTGACATTTTCCATGGATATCAAATGCTGCTCTGCCGCCTCAGGAGCTCTTGCGGGCTCCATATGACCCAGCCGCGCATCCATGATGGCCTCTGGCTTTGCGGCGGCAGCAGCAGTATTGACACCTACAATAGCCATACGAAAAACAATTACCTCGTGCGATCATCATGCCTGTAAACAGCATCCCCTGAACCACAAAGATTAGGCACATAACATGATCCTATGATGAAGCAAATAAAAGTGCTCATTAATTCCACAACTATGTTACACCAGTGCTCACCCTCATGGTGTTCACAACAGTAACTTTACCTGCTTTTCTTCATTCACTAAGATATTCGCAACAGCAATCTGAAAAATCTTATGATTCACTGAACTGTCCACAACAGCATAAGCTCACATGTCGCATGCATCCATACCTGCTCCCAGCTGTGCTGGCAACGCAGCTGCTGCATCCTCATCTAGAGGGAAATTGCAACGAGCAGCAGGGCCGCGAATGGACCGCGCAGCTGTGTCATACGCGCGCGCAGCTTCCTCTGCGGTGTCGAAGGTGCCCAGCCACCTGTGCATCCGTTGAATCCTGATCAAATTTCCTCATAGAGTACCAAAGCACCAGGGAAGACAGCTCCCTTTGTCCAGGTTTGAGAAGAGGAGGATGACAGCGTTTAGGAAAATGTGTAGGAGCAAATTACCCAGCTAACATAAACGGACCAACGGCAAGACATGGAAAACGTATCGAAGTTGTCGGTATCAAATCAACTCAATCAGCTCAGTGTGGGAAAAGCAGAGTAGGGGTGAGAGAGCTACCTTCGCTGACCAATGGTGGGATCACGGATTTCTGCTGCCCACTTGCCCCAAGGCCGTTGTCTGACACCCCTGTAGGTCTTGTTCTTACCTTTGCTGACTACGTTGTCCTCTGCTACTGGTTTTCCATCAGGAATGTGGGCAAGCCCACTTCCAAGAGGCCTTTTCGCTTCACTGCCAGCCTTTTCCTGTGTGGTTCAACACGTAACACCATGGATCAAGTTGTTGTCCACCTTAGCGGCTTGACGACACCGCGTCTGGCACTTCTTGTCAGTGTGACATCTACATTGATCTGACCTATCATGCTCTCAGTGGATACCTTCGTCTTGAGTTGATCGTCCCAAGTACCCTGGTTCTCTTTGACCGGCGGTATGTTGGTGCTCTTGGCATCGCCAGATTGCGCGTTCGCAGTACGCAAAGAGAACCCCAGTGCGGAGGTCGCTGGTGAGACAGAAGGACCTTCACTCCTGTCTGGGTTGGCAGGGCTGGCTTCAGCTACAAACCCGGCCTGAACCGGAAACTGCCTCAATGGTGAATCCCCGTCGTACTGCATGATGCGAGATGTGAGGCAGGCGCGGCCCTTTCACGGTTTCTGGTCAGATGAACTCTCGGGATGTCTCAACCACACTGGCAAAGTGCATAATTCTGCCTCTTTCAACAGTTCAACTTCGTTATCCAGTACACCGCGGGATTTGGGTTTCGTTCCACTGTCTCATTCGAGTAGATGAAGGAATCATGAGCAACGCAATGAAAGACTCTGTTGATTTGTAGAATCACACAATCTCAGACTAGAGTTTGCCAAAATTGGCTATCCGAGCCCTTCCAAGTTTGAGGGCCGATGGTCTGTTCATCTGTGAATGCTTGGATGCCGTGCTTGGTGCTGATTCTGATCACACAAGTAGTCGATGATGTCAGTGCTATAGCTAGAAAAGGTCTTGACTGAAAGTTAGTACTGTCAGTACTAGTCAATTGATGGTGACTGTCTGACGTCACGGTGACTCGGAGCTCCGCAGAATGGCTACTTGTCCTCTCACAAGTGCAGGTGTTCAGAGGAAAGGTAAACGTAATCTGTCCAAGATCACCCATGGAGACTTCGTACAGGCTGCTGCCTGCAAGCCAGACCATTCCACTGGCACGAGCACAGTGACTGCTCCCAGCCTCCTCAGTGAGCAGTCCTGATACTAAGAGCATTGCCGACTCAAAGACGCCACCTGATCAGGAGACCTGTGCGTTGTATCCCAAGGTTTGATTGGAGGACGCTACGCAGCGTACAATTGGATGGAGCCACTCATTGCGCTAATGGTACATAACTTAAAGTTGGATACGGTCTAGTGTTCTGCAGGCCTGCCGGGTACCAGCTTTCAATGATCTCTGAATGCACATCCACAGAGTCCACTCGATGGACTGGACACAGCTAAAGACTCTTGGTAGAAGTCATCAAAAAGTGTGTCACCTATCGATAGCTTCATGTATCGTGCATGCAACACTTCTGGCCAGAGTGTTGCAGACTTGAGCTTTTAGCCGCACCTACGATTTATAAATGCAAGGTTTGCTCCTGCAGTGGCCAGTGTACATGAAATAATACCAATGGTACAAATACTTGAAATGAAGGAGCAAGATATCCCTGTTCAAAGTCACCATAGGCGGAAGTAGGTATTTCTTTGGAGCATGCGCAGCACCGCCCGCCGATACCAAGCACCAATTGGCCTAATTCTTGTATTCTTGAAATGCTGAACACCATCGCCAACGTTCACCTGCATGCAGCAAGAGACTAGATTCTTACCTACGTTATAGGCGAAATGCCCTGCCTAGTTGCATTTGTATAAAAAAAAAGAGGTGCATAATAGTATGGTTCACCACTGCCAAGTTTCTCACCGGCGTGAAGTTCAAGTAGCTGCCCCTCAAGCCCCATCTGTATGCCTGGCGGAAGTTCACACCCTCATTTTG